ATCACCACATAAAATATTTATCTTAATCATCAAGAGTGTTCATACACGTCACCTTCACTATTTAGCGTTAATAAAGAAATATAATTTATGCTCTGCTCCTCACGGCGAGCTATTGCGCATGCGCGACTTTGGGGAAGGAGAAGACTCGCGCCATATTTGCCATCAACAAGTGGTGCTCCGTAAGCGGTCCAAAAATCTTCTCATCCAACCGACATCCGAACATCTTTAGATGCCAGATTGAGGACGCAGCTTCCCAGAATCACGGACACCAGTTCGGCAGGCATTTTTACCTCATTTGTTCTATTTAACGAGCTCTTAAATAAGATCATGTAGGTGCCATGTCGTTATGATGCGGGCGTAAAAATATTCTCATGTAAGTGTAGCTCTTTCCCCTCCAAATATTTAGATATTACCGTATATGTGTGTGAATGCTAGTTTGGAGGTGGAAATTACGGGATTATCATTATTGCAGCATGGTGGAACACCCTGAGGAAGCGTGTGACCGCCATACCCTCACGTGTGCCAACTTAACACTTATCTCAAACTGTTTCCAGCCAGACGTACAGTGGACTGCATCTACGTCCTCTGTCACAGCTGAGACATAATCACTTTTCATTGTAGATAGTAGTTTATTATTTAGAGTCCATATCCATATATATATCTTCTTGAGGTTATCTTGAGATGATTTCGGGGCTTTAGTGTCCCCGCGGCCCGGTCCTCGACCAGGCTTCCACCCCCAGGAAGCAGCCCGTGACAGCTGACTAACTCCCAGGTACCTATTTACTGCTAGGTAACAGGGGCATTCAGGGTGAAAGAAACTTTGCCCATTTGTTTCTGCCTCGTGCGGGAATCGAACCCGCGCCACAGAATTACGAGTCCTGCGCGCTATCCACCAGGCTACGAGGCCCCACCAATATATACCTACATATCTGATACTGCCAGTTATGCATTATTAATCTTCATATGGCAGTAGTATTTTGCATTATATATTTTACCCATTATTTATGTGTGTGCATATTATAATTATTATTATTATTGCATAATATATGTTCCACATAGATTAATCTTAATCGTGGGGCCTCGTAGCCTAGTGGATAGCGCGCAGGACTCGTAATTCTGTGGCGCGGGTTCGATTCCCGCACGAGGCAGAAACAAATGGGCAAAGTTTCTTTCACCCTAAGTGCCCCTGTTATCATACGTCAGGCTGCGAGCAGCCGCGTCTAACAGCCTGGTTGATCAGTCCAGCAACCAGGAGGCCTGGTCGACGACCGGGCCGCGGGGACACTAAGCCCCGGAAGCATCCTCAAGGTAGCCTCAAGGTAGGTATCTTATAGAATACCCCCCAAATTGTGTCATGGGAGGCTGGCTCTAGAATTATATAATTTAGTCATTGCTTAATTAATGGAATTTAGTCATATAATCATAGATCTATAAGCCACTGATTTCTCATTTAATTACTCATTCTGGTCCCTCGAGCTATCTTAGAATTTATCATTATTTTACATTCACATAATTATACATTTTCTTAGTATTATACTGGAGCCAGATTTCCCCACACCTTGTGGAGTCTATAACACCCTGTTATAGACCCTTGGAGTCTATAACACCCTGTTATAGACCCTTGTGGAGTCTATAACACCCTGTTATAGACCCTTGTGGAGTCTATAACACCCTGTTATAGACCCTTGTGGAGCCTATAACACCCTGTTATAGACCCTTGTGGAGCCTTTAACACCCTGTTATAGGCCCTTGTGGAGTCTATAACACCCTGTTATAGACCCTTGGAGTCTATAACACCCTGTTATAGACCCTTGTGGAGCCTATAACACCCTGTTATAGACCCTCGTGGAGTCTATAACACCCTGTTATAGACCCTCGTGGAGTCTATAACACCCTGTTATAGACCCTCGTGGGGTCTATAACACCCTGTTATAGACCCTTGTGGAGCCTATAACACCCTGTTATAGACCCTCGTGGAGTCTATAACACCCTGTTATAGACCCTCGTGGAGTCTATAACACCCTGTTATAGACCCTTGTGGAGCCTTTAACACCCTGTTATAGACCCTCGTGGAGTCTATAACACCCTGTTATAGACCCTCGTGGAGTCTATAACACCCTGTTATAGACCCTCGTGGAGCCTTTAACACCCTGTTATAGGCCCTTGTGGAGCCTATAACACCCTGTTATAGACCCTTGGAGTCTATAACACCCTGTTATAGACCCTTGTGGAGCCTTTAACACCCTGTTATAGGCCCTTGTGGAGCCTATAACACCCTGTTATAGACCCTCGTGGAGTCTATAACACCCTGTTATAGACCCTCGTGGAGTCTATAACACCCTGTTATAGACCCTTGTGGAGCCTTTAACACCCTGTTATAGGCCCTTGTGGAGCCTATAACACCCTGTTATAGACCCTTGTGGAGTCTATAACACCCTGTTATAGACCCTTGTGGAGCCTATAACACCCTGTTATAGACCCTCGTGGAGTCTATAACACCCTGTTATAGACCCTCGTGGAGTCTATAACACCCTGTTATAGACCCTCGTGGAGTCTATAACACCCTGTTATAGGCCCTTGTGGAGCCTATAACACCCTGTTATAGACCCTTGGAGTCTATAACACCCTGTTATAGACCCTTGGAGTCTATAACACCCTGTTATAGACCATTGGAGTCTATAACACCCTGTTATAGACCCTTGGAGTCTATAACACCCTGTTATAGACCCTTGGAGTCTATAACACCCTGTTATAGACCCTTGGAGTCTATAACAGCCTGTTATAGACCCTTGGAGTCTATAACACCCTGTTATAGACCCTTGGAGTCTATAACACCCTGTTATAGACCCTTGTGGAGCCTATAACACCCTGTTATAGACCCTCGTGGAGTCTATAACACCCTGTTATAGACCCTCGTGGAGTCTATAACACCCTGTTATAGACCCTCGTGGAGCCTATAACACCCTGTTATAGACCCTCGTGGAGTCTATAACACCCTGTTATAGACCCTCGTGGAGTCTATAACACCCTGTTATAGACCCTCGTGGAGTCTATAACACCCTGTTATAGACCCTCGTGGAGTCTATAACACCCTGTTATAGACCCTCGTGGAGTCTATAACACCCTGTTATAGACCCTTGGAGTCTATAACACCCTGTTATAGACCCTTGGAGTCTATAACACCCTGTTATAGACCCTTGGAGTCTATAACACCCTGTTATAGACCCTTGTGGAGCCTTTAACACCCTGTTATAGGCCCTTGTGGAGCCTATAACACCCTGTTATAGACCCTTGTGGAGTCTATAACACCCTGTTATAGACCCTTGTGGAGTCTATAACACCCTGTTATAGACCCTTGTGGAGTCTATAACACCCTGTTATAGACCCTTGTGGAGTCTATAACACCCTGTTATAGACCCTTGTGGAGTCTATAACACCCTGTTATAGACCCTTGTGGAGTCTATAACACCCTGTTATAGACCCTTGTGGAGTCTATAACACCCTGTTATAGACCCTTGTGGAATCTATAACACCCTGTTATAGACCCTTGTGGAGTCTACAACACCCTGTTATAGACCCTTGGAGTCTATAACACCCTGTTATAGACCCTTGTGGAGCCTTTAACACCCTGTTATAGGCCCTTGTGGAGCCTATAACACCCTGTTATAGACCCTTGTGGAGTCTATAACACCCTGTTATAGACCCTTGTGGAGCCTTTAACACCCTGTTATAGGCCCTTGTGGAGTCTATAACACCCTGTTATAGACCCTTGGAGTCTATAACACCCTGTTATAGACCCTTGGAGTCTATAACACCCTGTTATAGACCCTTGGAGTCTATAACACCCTGTTATAGACCCTTGTGGAGTCTATAACACCCTGTTATAGACCCTTGTGGAGTCTATAACACCCTGTTATAGACCCTTGTGGAGTCTATAACACCCTGTTATAGACCCTTGTGGAGTCTATAACACCCTGTTATAGACCCTTGTGGAGCCTATAACACCCTGTTATAGACCCTCGTGGAGTCTATAACACCCTGTTATAGACCCTCGTGGAGTCTATAACACCCTGTTATAGACCCTCGTGGAGTCTATAACACCCTGTTATAGACCCTCGTGGAGTCTATAACACCCTGTTATAGACCCTTGTGGAGTCTTTAACACCCTGTTATAGACCCTTGTGGAGTCTTTAACACCCTGTTATAGGCCCTTGTGGAGCCTTTAACACCCTGTTATAGACCCTTGTGGAGTCTATAACACCCTGTTATAGACCCTTGTGGAGCCTATAACACCCTGTTATAGACCCTTGTGGAGTCTTTAACACCCTGTTATAGACCCTTGTGGAGCCTATAACACCCTGTTATAGACCCTTGTGGAGCCTTTAACACCCTGTTATAGGCCCTTGTGGAGTCTATAACACCCTGTTATAGACCCTTGTGCTCTCTCCCTAACCCTCCTCCCCTAACTTATTCCTCATTCGTGCACGTTACCGGAGAGCGGACTATAGCTCATGGGCCCTGCCTGCTAACACTCATTGACTGAGTCGGTGACGCCGCCTTAACCCTTATTGGTCGGACCATTTTCACACACCAATCTTAACTATACGCGCATGCGCAGAACTTACTGTGTTTGCGGCGACAGCTGTAAGGTGGCAGTGTCATTTTAACTATTGGTCAAGTTATGATCCCCCCCTATTTTAGGCCCCATTCCCCCTCCCCCCTTCACTTTGCTGTGGCCAAAGTAGATATGGGTAGACTCAATAGGTATAGGATGTTGATATGTCACTCAACACCCATATCTACTCACCAAATACACCAACTCTTCACCAATCAATCAATCAATGAATCAATCGATCAATCAATGAATCAATCGATCAATCAATGAATCAATCGATCAATCAATGAATCAAATCGATCAATCAATCAATGAATCAATCGATCAATCAATCAATCAATGAATCAATCGATCAATCAATCAAATCAAATCACACTCGGCTTACCTTTGTGGGACTTTTCCATTTTTCTTCGAATTCTTCTTTCGCCTTTTCGAGGAACTCTTTGACTGTAAGAGAGAGAGAAAATAATTATAATCAGTTTACACCACACACGACACTGATGTGTTTCTCTTAATGTGTGTATACATCCCCACTACACGCCACGGGTATGTACGACTCTTACCTCGTCAATTGTGGCGGGGGAGACGTCTCCCGTCACGCAGGGTGCAGTCGCACCTCCACAGACCTCCAGTATCAGCTCTTGATACTGGTAATGATGGCTCAAAAGGGCCACCACTTACGGGCTATTCATGCCCGTGCCACCTCTTGGGTGGCTTAATCTTCATCAATCAATCAATTGTGGCCCACAGATCATTATGTGATGTATATGTATCGTTCTTTATGTCGGATGGTGTCGATAAGTGTGTGGGGGGGGGAGGGGAGGAGTGGGGGGGGGGGAGAGGTTGGGGGAGGGGGTAAAGTAAGTGTCACACACACTTACCTGGGGAGGGAGACCAACCAGATTATTAGTGCTGTCCAAGGTGTAGAGGGGGGGGGAGCCGACCTGAAGCACCAGGACTAGTGGGGGGGGCGGGGGGGGCTCAAACCAGGTAAACACGCCAGGCAGCCCGTCCTCATAAACAAAGGCCCAGAGTCCATTCCATGCACCCGCCAAACCCTCAGCTGTTTCGTTTTGACCTCACTGTATTTCCCACTTCTATACTTCCCTTCACCTATACCTCTCCTTCCTCTTTACTCCAAAAAAAAAAAACACCAGCTGTTTATGAATGAAAAACGGTTTACACACGACTCACAACTGCTGACATTCGAACATATCCGGAACAAGTGCTTCACTGACGAATTTTGTTCGAACCACAACGCTGTAAATGCTTCACCCACGTACTACAAATACAAATAATCGCCAACAGAACCTAAACACCTAACCTAACTTATGCCTATATATGCACAATATGCTAATATATTAAAATATCAATTTATATTTTATTAAATACAATAAAATAATTAAATTAATAAAATAAATTTTATAAAACACGAAAACTTCCCATTCAACTGTTGTCATTGTTATAAACAGGCTCCTGGTGCTTCGGAGCTCATTAACTGTTTAATAATTGAAAACAAAGCCGCCAAAGATTGAGAAAAGATGTACAGGTTCGTAAGTGCTTGCGTAAGTGCTTTCGTGAATCTGGCCCCCGCGCCCCACGCCTCTCCTACCCATGGAGGAGGAGGAGGATATACATATACATATACCCAGCGCGCCAATGCCCTCTCAACATCACGAAACAAATATGATGCAAACTTTAAAACTGTGGATGAAAAGTGTGTTCCGTAACCTGTTCCTTCAATGCGCGTCTCTACCTACCACCGATGTCCCTTTTGTCCGGCTTCACTGTGTATTGAAATAGCACCCCCCCTCTACTCCTCCTATTGTGGCCCGTCCCACTTACTTCAGACTTTGTAGTTTTTTTTTAAGGACTTTTAAGCTTTTTAGGACTTTTTAAGCTTTACTGTGAAGGTGGTGGTGGCGTGGCCGGCGCCCTGGTGACTGTGGGGAGCACCACGCTCTCTCCACCTACCTTGAGGTTACCTTGAGGTTACCTTGAGGTGCTGCCGGGGCTTAGCGTCCCCGCGGCCCGGTCGTCGACCAGGCCTCCTGGTTGCTGGACTGATCAACCAGGCTGTTGGACGCGGCTGCTCGCAGCTTGACGTATGAGTCACAGCCTGGTTGATCAGGTATCCTTTGGAGGTGCTTATCTCTCTTAATTACCCTTAATATCATATACCTTGTTATTAACTCACACTATGGGGGAGACGGGTCGTATTCAATATTTGTATTTGCTATTTGTGCCTGCAGGACCGAGCTGCTATAGCTCTTGGACCCCGCCTGGCCCTCGGTTGTCTAATGTACTGACTCGCTATCTATTTTGGTCTCTACCATATCTACCACCATATCCTCCCTCCCTCTGACACGCATTCGCCTACTCCCCCCCCTCCCCCACCACCTCTCCACGGAATGTGAGTGCAATCCGCAACAGCCACCTCCCAGGTACATATTTACGGCTAGGTGAACAGAGGCATTAGGTGAATGGCGATTCTACCCAGTTGTTTCTGCCTTGTTAGGGAATACAACCTGGGTCCGTGGACTACTAATCCTGAACGTTGTCCGTTCGACCGCAAGGACCCCGAGTATGTATTTACTATTTGTGTCTGCAGAATCCAGCTATTAGCTCTTGGATCCCGCCTTTCCAACCAATCTATTTGTACTTTATTATATCTACTATATATATTTCTTTCTAACACACGCGCACACACAGGCAGACTCCATACACAGTTTCAAATGTAGATATGATAGAGCCCAATAGGCTCAGGAATCTGTACACCAGTCGATTGACAGTTGAGAGGCGGGACCAAAGAGCCAAAGCTCAACCCCCGCAAGCACAATACTGGCCCTCCAGTATCTTCAACATGTATATTATATGATATCTCTCTCGTCTCCTTTCTAGAGAGTACATTTGGAGAGCTTTGAGACGATCCCAGTAATTTAGGTGCTTTATCTCGTCTATGTATGCCGTATATGTTCTCTGTATTCCCTCTATTTCAGCAATCTCTCCTGCTCTGAAGGGGGAAGTGAGTGCCCTGGGAGAAGAGGGGGGGAGGGGGGACAGAGAAACTAGCGCCATCTCTTACAATAACAGAAAACAAATGCGTGCCATGATGCGTCATACCCATCCATAAACATGCCACACTCAACCACCACAACCACCACCTACTGTGATTTACAAGTCGCTATGCAAGTGATTTTACTAACAAATCTTTTTCAATTTACAGGAGTGAGAGGAGTTGGGGCAGGCGGGGGGGGGGGGGGAGGTGTTGCCTCATCACGCACCTGCCTCAACAGTGATGCCTCTCAACTGCCACTCCCCACGCACGCCCATCCTTAGCTAATTAAGCCACGCCCACGCATTATCCTAACAGCCTGGGCCACGCCCACTCCCATCAGCACATTACAATTGGAACACCTACCCGCTCTCCCCCCCCCCTTCTGTATACTGTGTGTGTACACCCGGGTGTAGACAGGATAAAGGATACCTGATCAACCAGGCTGTGACTCATACGTCAGGCTGCGAGCAGCCGCGTCCAACAGCCTGGTTGATCAGTCCAGCAACCAGGAGGCCTGGTCGACGACCGGGCCGCGTGGACGCTAAGCCCCGGAAGCACCTCAAGGTAACCTCAAGGTACACACACTCCTGGGGCACGTCGCGGTGTCGGACACGGGCATAATGTCACCCCTGGTCGCCGACACCTGGGTCTGTGGCCGACACGCGGCCATTGTCGACGTGCAAGCCTCAAGGCTCACTAAACAGGGGCCAGATTCACGAAAGCACTTACGCAAGCACTTACGAACGTGTACATCTTTCCTCAATATTTGACAGCTTTGGTTACATTTATTAAACAGTTTACAAGCATGAAAACTTCCCATTCAACTGTTGTTATTGTTATAAACAGTCTTCTGGTGATTCGGAGCTCATTAATTGTTTAATAATTGGAAACAAAGCCACCAAAGATTAAGAAAAGGTGAACAGGTTCGTAAGTGCTTGCGTAACTGCTTTCGTGAATCTGGCCCCTGCTCTTGCCCGCTTCACAAGGTATAGTCTCAGTTTTCATTTAAGCAAATACTAATTATTTCACACGACAGTAGCCTCAGGCAAAATAAAAGTCAGTTACTAAATACATTTATTATCCAATTACTTTAATATTTTTTTTAAGAATGTATTAGCGAGGCTTACATATGGGAGGTGAAGGGAGACTTTGAGACCATTTGTATGGGTGAGCAGGGCAGGGGTGGAGGGGGGGGGTGTCAAGGGGAACACCACTATGACGGTCCCCCCTCACCCACCCGTCACCCTGCCAAGTTTAATGAGACTGTCACTAAGCGTCTGTCTTCCAACCTTGGACAGATGATTTTTTTTAGATATAGATGTATCAAAGAACAAGAGTAGCCAAAAACAACTATATAAAAATATTTGTGTGTGTGTGTGTTTAACGTGTTCCAAATCCTTTGGTGTTAAACGCGTTATGATCTCGTCTCTCTCGTGTTGCATTATATAATATTCTTGCCAACATTATGCTCTGAACGATGCCATTAATAAAGGCTGCTTGGTCAACCGCTTCCATCGGGAGCGTCCCGCGAGACTCTGCCCACCGTCGTGTCGGGAAGCTGTATCTCTGGTATATACGGGATGGCCCCGTCTTCCCGCCACACGGGGGAGACATCTCCCGTCACGCAGGGTGCAGTCGCACCTCCACAGATCTCCAGTATCATCTATTGATACTGGTAATGGCTCAAAAGGGCCACAACTTACGGGCTATTCATGCCCGTGCCACCTTTTGGGCTGCTTCATCTTCATCAATCAATCTTCCCGCCACACACATCTTTATCCTCACTACCAAAAGGAAAACTTGTGCTAGAAATGTATTTTTTTTTACACTATGGGTAGCCACAGCACCGGGCAGCTTCAGAGATGGCTGGACGTGCCCTGGGCTGTGTGGTCACTGCCCTCTGTGATGGCTGGACGTGCCCTGGCTGTGTGGTCACTGCCCTCTGTGATGGCTGGACGTGCCCTGGCTGTGTGGTCACTGCCCTCTGTGATGGCTGGACGTGCCCTGGGCTGTGTGGTCACTGCCCTCTGTGATGGCTGGACGTGCCCTGGCTGTGTGGTCACTGCCCTCTGTGATGGCTGGACGTGCCCTGGGCTGTGTGGTCACTGCCCTCTGTGATGGCTAGACGTGCCCTGGCTGTGTGTGGTCACTGCCCTCTGTGATGGCTGAACGTGCCCTGGGCTGTGTGGTCACTGCCCTCTGCGATGGCTGGACGTGCCCTGGCTGTGTGTGGTCACTGCCCTCTGTGATGGCTGAACGTGCCCTGGGCTGTGTGGTCACTGCCCTCTGTGATGGCTGGACGTGCCCTGGCTGTGTGTGGTCACTGCCCTCTGTGATGGCTGGACGTGCCCTGGCTGTGTGTGGTCACTGCCCTCTGTGATGGCTGGAC